GTAAACGAACCGATGAAGGCTGAACTCGTGCTCCAGTGAAAATCACGTTCTTCTGCCAAATCAGGACGGAGACCATCTGGTGTCTAAAGCTGCACATAGTGAAAACACATTATCAGCAAATCTGACCGGCTGGTTTCACTATAAACCTGGCTGGACGTAGAGGACGTTTTCCAATGGTGATACCGCTCCTGATACGATAAAAAAAATAAAATAAATTCCAGTTCTCAAATCTGCAAAATATCCTGACTCCAAATCTAATCTTAATCTAAACTTTGCAGCTGCTTGTTGTTTTCTTTGTGCAAGGCAGCACAAACAGGTTACAGCCTGTTTATACTAAAGCCTTAGAAACCTGTGCTGACACAAGAATCAGATACGAGTACATCTTTGCATGTTTTCAACACAAACCCATTAGAAAAGTTACTTTAACTTACTTTACTCTTGATTAACAATGGATCTGGATGGGGATTTCCTTTTTTATAATTTACGTAATTTAGTTTCTCACTCTTAGCAAAAGAAAAACACCTCGTGAGAGAAACGTAGACACCTTCATTTTAAGAAAAGAAAAAGAAAGATTAACTGTTTTAAAAGGCTTTTTTAAACTCAGTAATTTGTTTCGGTCAACTTCTAAAGAACTGTTTCAAGTTTTTTCCGGCTGAATTTCTGAGAAGAAAAACTGAACACGCACGAAGGCCGTTATGTAACTCTGCTTCAGCCTTCGGCGACTTTTTGTGTTCGCCATGTCCAATTGTTTTAAATGCACAGCACTGTTTCATGTTCCATCACTACAACTGTAAAACCACAAGTTCAGCCAAGAGGACGAAGCACAAACGTCTTCTGTCCTGAGGGACATCCGTCCGTTATATCATCAAAAAGCAAGACAAGTTACGATTAATCTAATTTTCAGACTGAATATCAGTCGTCAGTATTTTGTCCTCAAGTCTTGTTTAGTGCAACTTTGTCTCTTCACATGCAACAAAATCCATTATCAGAGAAAAATCCAAAACATTTGCCGTTTCCTGCTTCTCAAATTTGAGGATTTGCTGCTTTTCTCTTCAAACAAAACAAGATCTTCATTTCAAGACGTCACACTGCCAGAAAAAAATCATCCTTGAGATGTTTCTGATTTTGCACAATAAACGCAACTAAGCCTCGTGACACTCGGGGAGGAAACTGTTAATGTTGAGAAAACGTCAAAAATAAAAACAGCAGCAGTCGTGATATTTGGACTTTTCACTGGGCCGCTGCTGACCTCATTTCACCTCCCGATATAATGTCCCCTCTGTTCGTGTGCTTGACTGCATTGTGCAGATATTTAGCATTAATTCTTGAAGGTGCGCGCAACCGACGCGCCGGAGGAACGCAGGATGTGTGAGGTTGTCATGATGCACAGAAAACCAAGCAGCTCTGTGAGGTCATGACCCACGGCAACTACAGCACAAGGGAAAAACTGAGACGTTCGCCTACAGCTGATGAGAAAGTTAAGTATGACACATGTTTTCCAGACGGTTTTTCTGTCAGATCACTGATTGGCGGAGATCGGAGACGCCAAACAGAACTGGTCCAGATATATCGGTCTGAGAGCTGGACAGTCACATTCACAGCATGTGATCCTCTCTGCTTCCAGCCACACTCAGAGCCAACAAGGACTCCGGGAGGGAGTGCAGTCCCTGAATGAGCTCGCCATTAATTCCCCCCACTGTTCCCGACCCACAACAAGGCAAGGCCCCGTACAAAGACCCGGTCTGTCAGATCTGCGACGCTAATCGCTGTCCCCCATGACGGGAGCCTCCCTGCGCCGTCGCCTCCTCCTCTGAGACGGCCTTGTTTTCAGCCAGAGAGATGATAAGTGGGATGGGAGGGAGGGAGGGAATCTGAGTTGTTATATAACCTCCAGAGAGGAGAATGACCTCTGAGAGAACAGAGACCTCAGACGTCGCTGTCCACGCTGCTGAGGACAGGACCTGAGGCGGAGGGGGAGCAGGGGGGGGACAATTTAGTTTGTTATTACTCAGTAAATAGAAGTTTTACTTTGATAAACAAACATTTCTATGAGTGTGCGATCCTCCAGAGGCAGAACAAGCTCATCTCACTGGATCGTGAGCACAAAGTTTTAGTATCAGGACACAAGAAAGTGTCAAACTTTAGTGTCAAAGAAGAAACTAGAAGAACAAAGACTGGAAACTAGAACAGAGAAGAAGAAACTTTGACCTAATAAAGTATAACATAATTTGTCAGGCTTCTGCACTGTGCAGCTCAGTGTGATGAACATCAGGCTAAAATTAAACAAGACTGAGAGTCTGCAGACATGCTAGCAGCTCTGTGAGGCTGCACCGGTGCTCCGAGCTAAAAAGCTAACACCAGTTACAATGTTGACAGGATTCATCCTCTGGGGACCATAAATATTTATACAAGAGTTCGTGGCAAGAAATCCAATATCCACGACGGGCATTTGTGCTTAGTTTCTGAACAGCTGACGAAAAGAATAATCTGTGGGTGAATAAACTGATCTAGAGTTGCAGGTCTAGGTTTAACTGCACATCTGTGGCTCTGTTTCCCCTCGGCCGCCTCGCAGGAGTGTTTGTGTGTCACTGATGAAAGGTAAGAAAGCGGGAAAAACATGCAGTGACCACGAACGTGATCGAGATGATGGCAATCTCTTCGGTGTGTTTACTTTTCCCGCTGCTAGCCTCTGTGCTGTAATGATGCTACGTGAGAACAGGGGGGGG